AAACAAAAATCCCATAAAGCGAATTTTCTCCCAAACCTTTTAAAAAAAACAAAAAACCTGAAAAAAATTGAAAAAACCGGGCCCAAAAGTGGGTGGGTTTGGCTTGAAACCGATACAACCAATGAAAAAAAAAAACGCCACAGGTAATAAAATGTAATTGTTTTTAGCCTAGAAATGTTTCATGAATAAGAAAACCATAGGAATGAAAAAACAAAGTTTGTGCTCGCAATACGAAAAATACACTTTGCCTCGAATGTTCCTCTCACACATGCATTCATTTAAAGCTCTGTGAGTTTATATTCAATTTCTCTCTTTCTCTCTCTCTCTCTCTCTTTTATTTAGTTGAAATAGAAAGCTAACTAAAAAGAAAAACAAAATACATAAATAGTAATAAATCATTCTCTCCAACATCAACAGAAATACACACGATCACAATATGAAGGACCAAGGTACCCCTTGTGTATGGCTGAAGGAACAGTATACCCGACAGCGTGGCGGTCTTGTGGCTTTGAGAAAGGGTCATGTAAACAAAATAAAAGAACGAATTGTATATACACACATGCATAAAGTAACAAGTTTTAATTTCAACAATGAAAATTCATGTACAAATCCTCACCTTACACAACACAAATAAAATCAGTAGTAGTAGTAGTAGTAATAATAATAATAATAATAATAATAATATAATAATAATAATCATCATCATCATCATAATAATAATAACAAAACTGATAATTGGAAAAAAGGACCTTTGCTCATACGCATAAGTTGACCCGCCAATGATACCCGAGAGCCATAGGGGTGTGTTTTGTGTTATCTGAAGCTGCTGCTGCTATTTATAGGAGAAGGAAAGAAAGATTTAAAAACTGACTGAACACAAACATTTCTGGTGAAGTGGTGGACATGGGGGGAAAAAAATCATGTGTGAAAGTAAGAGTGAGCAGATGGGAGAGGTTCTGATTGGAACATGAAAGAAAATGAATGAGTTATAAAAGGTGTTGTATTACTGTTCCATAGAGAAAATGGGAAAGCACAGATATAGGATAAAAGATACAACATGAATAAAACAAAAAGAGGTAACACATTCTAGATTTCCGTTCAAATCACGTTTCAGACTGTTCTGCCTGCATTATCTGGTGGAACAACTATACACAAGGCCAACAATCACGATGCTGTGATATGATAAATTATGCATAGAAGATGTAGTTCTTAAATGAACCCAAAACTACTAGAAAACATATAAAAAAAGAGAATTTAAGTATATATATTAAATACATACACTAAAAACACACAATAATAATAATAACAATAATAATGGCATCCTAAATGAAAGAACTATCAAGCCAACAACAAAAAAAGAAAAAAGTCATGACAATAACTACACTGCATCTACATTTTCATAAATAATGTACAAGAAACTGAATGTAATCATAATCGTCCAAGCATGTTGCGAGACCACACACACGGACCACTACACAATTTCCATTTTTTTCTCTTTCCCATTTTTGTACCATGGTATTTACACCAAGACACCTATGCACTCACAGGTTTTGGGCATTCCTGATCACAGCAAAGCCATAATGCAACATAAACATTCTCTTTATCTCCTACCAATTCCTCCTTTCTTCTTTACATCACAATATAACCAGCAAGACATTTTTAAGCTAGAAGACCAACCTTGTGTCCTTGTATGTGTACTTGTGTGTGTGTGTGTACGCCACTAACGGTATCACAATCTTTGGGGATACATGAAGAAGGGTATGGGGGAGGGGAGGGAAGTTCAAGAGGGTGTTCCCCCTCTGAAGACAATACCAACAAGGAGTCCTTCTGAAAGGAGGGGGGGATGCCTTTGATTAAACACTTGGCCTTCATTCGACATCTTCCTCACTCACTTTGGGCCCTCCAGCTGCCTGTAGGATGCTCTGAAGAAGGAGAGAGAGAATTCTTGATTAGGGCACGAAGGAATCAAAGGAGGAAATGCAATCGCAGACAATATAACAGCGAGGAGCTAAGAATCACCAAACAACACAGAAAGGACTGGCATATAAGAATTAATTGTCAATGAAAAATATAAATAACCAAAGAGAAACTGATGTTTCTGCTGGTTGAGTAAAATCAGTAACAATAAAGCGAGGGAAAGGAAAAAGGAGAAGGAAGAGAAAAGGAGGAGAAGAGAGAGGAGAGCAGGAGGTGAAAGGAGGAAAAGGAGAGGAGAAGAAAGGAGGAGGAAAGAAAGGAGAGGAGGAGAAAGGAAGGAGAAAAAGGAAGAGAAAGGAGAGGAGAAAAGAAGAGAGAAAGAAAAGATGAGAGAGAAAAAAAAAGCAGGAATGAGAGGAGAAAGAAAGAGAGGAAGAGAAAAAAAGAGCAGCGAAGATAGGAAAAAAGAGCAGAGAGAGAAGAAGACAGAGAGAAAAGAAAGAGCAGAGGAGGAGCAAGGAGGAGAGCAATGAGGAAGGAGGAAAGTGGAGTGAGGAGAGGTTAGGAAAGAAGGTGAAGGAGAAAGAGTGTGGAGGAGATAGGAGAGGGTGAGGAAGAGAGGGTTGAGGAGGAGGAGGAAGGTCGGAGCGGAGGAGAGCAGGTGGGAGAGGAGAGAGGGAAAGGAGAAAGGGAGGAGGAAGAAAGAGGGGAGAGGAAGAGAGTGGGAGAGAGGAGAGGGGGAGAGGAGGAGAGGGAGAGAGGAGAGGGGAGGAGAGAGGAGGAGGCAGGAGGAACGGGGGAGGAAGAGAGAGGGGTGGAGGAAAAGGGAGAGGGTGTAAGGAAGTGGAGAGGGTGAAGTACGAGAGGAGGAGGAAGAGGCAGAGGATGAGAGAGGAGAGAGGAGAGAGGGCAGAGAGGAAGGCGAAGGAGGAGGAGAGAAGGAGGAGGGGAGAAGAAGGAGAAGTGAAAACGAGAAGGAGGAGGAAGAGGAGGAGGAGGCGGAGGAGAGGTAGGAGGAGGAGCAAGGAGAAGGAAGGAGAGGAAAGCAGAGGAGAAGGAGGAGGAGGCAGAGGAGAGGAGGAGCAAGAGAGAGGAGGAGAGGAGAGAAGAAGGTAGGCAGCATGAGAAAGAGGAATGATCAAGGAGCAGGAATGAGCGAGCAGAGCGAGCAGAGCAGAAGGAGAGGGAGGAGAGGAGGAGGAGAGAGAAAAAAGAAGCAGGAGAGGAGGAGAAAGAGAGAAGGAGGAGGAGGGAGCAAAAAGAGCAGGAAGAGAGAGAAAGAAGAGCATGGAGGAAGAAAGAAGAGTCAGGCAAGGAGAGAAAGAAGAGCACGGAGGAGGAGCAGGAGCGCAGAGCAGAGGAGGAGGAAGTGGAGGAGGAGAAAGGTTGAAGGAAAGGAAAGTGAAGGAGGAAGAGAGGGTGGAGGAAGAGGAGGAGAGGGTGGAGGAAGAGAGGGTGGAGGAGAGGAGGAGAGGGTGGAGGAAGGAGGATGGAGAGGGTGGAGGAGGAGTAGAGAGGGGAGGAGGAAGGAGAGAGGGAGAGGAAGAAAGAGGGGAGGAGGAAGAGAGTGGGAGGAGAGAGAGAAGGGGGAGGAGGGAGGAATGAGAGAGGGGGAGAGGAGCAAGGGGGGGAGGAAGGAAGAAAGGGGAGGAGGAGAGAAGGGTGGTGAGGAAGAGAGAGGGTGGAGTAAGAAGTGGAAGAGGGTGCAGGAATGGAGAGGGTGAAGTACGGAGGGAGGAGGAGAAGAGGAGGAGGAAGGACGGAGGAAAGAGAGGAGAGGAGAGGAAGGAAGTGAGGAGGAGGAGAGGAAGGAGAGGGAGGAGAGGAAAGAAGGGAGAAGGAGAGGAGATAGGAGGAGGAGGAGAGGAGGAGGAGAGGAGGAGGAGGAGGAGGAGGAGGAGGAGGAGGAGGAGGAGCAGGAGGAAGAGGAGAGGAGGAAAGCAGAGGAGGAGAGGGAGGAGGGAGAGAGGAGGAGGTAGAGGAGAGGAGAGGAGGAGGAGGAAAGATGAGCAGAGGCAGAGGAGGAGGAGAGGAGGAGGAGGAAGCAGAAGGAGAGAGGAGAGGAGGAGAGGAGGAGGAGGAGAGGAGGAGGAGGAGGAGGAGGAGAGGAGGAGGAGGAGGAGGAGGAGGAGGAGGAGAGAAGGAAGGAGGAGGAGGAGGAGGAGAGGAGGAGGAGGAAGGAGGAGGAGGAGCAAGGAGGAAAGAGGAGGAGCAGAGAGGAGGAGGAGGAGGAGCAGAGGAGAGGAGGAGGGAGAGGAGAGAGGAGGAGAGGAGAAGGAGGAGGAGGAGGAGGAGGAGGAGGAGAGGAAGGAGCAGAGGGAGGAAAAGGAGAGAGGAGGAGGAGAGGAGCAGAGGAGGAGAGGAGAGGAGGAGGAGGAGGAGGAGGAAGGAGGAGGAGGAGGAGGCAGGAGGAGAGGAGAGGAGAGAGGAGCAGAAGAGGAGGAGGAGGAGGAACAGAGGAAGGAGGGAAGGAGAGGAGGAGAGGAGAGGAGAGGAGCGGAGAGGAGGAGAGGAGGAGATGGAGGAGAAGGAGGAGAGAGGAGAGGAGAGAGGAGGAGGGAGGAGGAAGAAGGAGAAGAAAGAAGGGGAGAGGAAAGAGAAAAGAAACAGATGAAGAGGAAGAGGAAGAAACAGATGAAGAGGAAGAGGAAGAAACAGATGATGAGAGAAAGGAGAGGAGAAGAAATAGAACCCGAAGAAGGAATAGAGAGAGAGATAGAAATGGTGAAAAAGACATTGAAGTAAAGTGGCCGTGGCAAAGAAAAGAAGGAACAACAAAAGGAGATGCCAAAACAGGCATTTTCGACCCACCTCCCCAACGGCTGGCAGCTTCTGAAGGAGCATCTGGAAGACCTGAGGGGGGAGTGTCTGCTGTAGGACCTGCAGGAGCTGCTGAGGCTGCCCACACACTGCCACGGCCCGGCTGAGGTGCTCCACGCCCGCCTCCACCTCACCCTGTGCCAACAACTCTTCTCCAGCCTACGGGAAGAAGTGGGTTATGAGAAGGCAGAAGAAATAACGGTGCTGTTGAATAACAAGTTCTCTAAATTTTATGGTGGTGATTAACCCTCTGACAGTTTCTAGGATTTCCTTTACTCATTAGGAAGGACAGGTTTGATTGCAAGAATGCTCAATAGGTCAGTTTAATTTGAAGATAATTTCTTTGGTATGTTTACTTTTACATGTTTACTAACAGACCATGAAGATACCTGAAAATCAATCAAACATTCCTATGAATTCATTATTTCATTGAGCAAGCTGATCCATAATAACTAAATATTACTCATAACACTTGTTATCAAATATATCTATCTGAACTCGGAGAAACAGGCTCAAAGGAATATATACCCACTATGCAGGATATCTTTAGAAAGGTAGTGGAATGCGGTCACTTAATGCATCTAGAATATAAAATTACGACTGCAGTCACCTAACACAATCAAAGAATTAAAAAATGTCTGTCATTACTAATATGATATCATATTACTTTGTTTATAAGTTATTCATTGGCCCAGGAGAAACATTTTTAAGGTCTTATGAACCCTATATTGCCCAGCATGATGAATTTATCGTTTCCACTGGCTTAGAGTGGAAAACAGTTGATCTAGTGCCCTAGGTTAGCTATGGCAAATTTGTCTGGTATCCTTTTCTCAGAGGAGGCCAACTAGAAGCCCTATTGGTTGAGCCTGAGGGTGTCACAAGCAGCAAACTGTCGATCACAAAACAAGCACAGAGTTTGTAATTTCTTTCCTAATTTTCATGTTGCTTTATCACAATAATGAAAAAAATGTTATTGCTATTAAATGAGAAAAGGATTGAATGACAGAGGTCAGAGACCAATATGATGAATTCATCATGTAATTACAAAACTGCTTAGATTGCAGTAACTGAATGGAAATCTGATCTGAAACTTGAGTTGAATTCATATGTCTAAAAACCAAAGCATCATTTTGTATGGCCATTATCAATGCAATTTTTGCTCTTTCCCATAAAACATTCAAAGCAAATATTCATAGGGTTCATTTTATGCTGCCAGTTGCCAGGTTTCATTGATTTTGAGCAGTAGACTGTTCCAGTTAACAGCATGCCCTCCTTTACATAGAGACAAATCCAGCTATGCAGGTTCACTGCATAAAAAGGATTCGTTCAGTCCAGAAAGTACCTCTAGCAAATATCACTTTTCAGTTAGTGTTCAGTTTCCTAAGATACAGCATGTTGTTTCACACCAGAAGCAACTCTTCCCAACAGAAAGATTCTAGACATGTACATAAATAAAAACTGGGGTTGCGGCTCAAAAAGTGTAGACGAATGTGTTCCTCCTCCCAGGCATCCTTTACCCTCCAATTCACTGGGTGAGGTTAATTCTCCACATTAGGTATTGGTTATGGAGGCCCTGGCCGAGTTATGAGGAGATATAAAGAAATTAAAGGAGGAGAGAAGCTTGGCCATTGGTGCCACCAGTGATATCAGCTCTGCCTGTGACCTTGAGGAAAAGGTAAACATACACCCAGAAACATCTGATTGCAATCATGGGGTTTCCCTTTTTCAATTGGTTCAGCACCCTGATTCTAGTAGTGATAATGATTATAAGGGTGAACTATTCACAGGTAGTTTTCTTCATTACACTATGTTACAGTCCTTTGGACGATGTATCTACCGAGATCGAGAAGCATGTTGCTGATAAAGTGAATCATGTGTCTGATAATGGCATGTAAAAGGAGGTATACAGGGAGATTCTATATCAGACATAGCTAAGAGGCAATTGTCATGCTTTAGCCCTAGGCAAATGCAATAAACAAGAGTTAGATACACTGAAAATTGATGCCAAAAATGCTGACTTTCATTGGAAAAAATCAAGGAAGGGCATAAAAACTGCCATAGTAATCATAGAGTCATGGATGGTATTGTACAAGGTCGCCCATAAAGGACAACTAGAAGTGGCCCATGAAGTAAGCATACTCAATGGTGCACTAGTATTACTAGGAAATGCAAACCACAGACATAACTTGATGTGTTGATTCATCATTAAGTACCAGACCAATCAGATATATGTGCACTCAGGCTCTGATAAGGTGCCAATCACTAGAGTCTTGTTCAGGGATGAACTGCTAAGTACATTGAAGAAGTGACAACTTGAAAAACAAGATCACAGAAGAAAAAAAAAAAATCCAAATATGGAAATTTGGTACAGGAATGCTTAGAGGCTCGTCAGGAAAAATCCCATTCCGAGGAGTTGCATCCGTGTTTCACCCCTATGGAAAACAATCATACAGGAGAGCCCATCAGCTACCTTTCTCATGGCAGGAGTTAGTGGCAAAAAACTCCCGAGACACACAGCAATCCCCGGCAATACCTAAGGCAGGTCAGAAATTTGAAGTTGGCAGAGTTTTGTACATGACTGGCATAGAATAAACAATGTTCCTCATTTTGGATATCATCATGCACTGCCCTCTTGACATTAATTTTGATAACGTCATTTATTTAATTTCTGAACAAATGTTTTAGTGAGGAGGAAAAGGACAATATTTATCAGTAAATTGTTAAGCTAAAGGATCTTACAGTTAACAAGGAAATGCACATATAGGAGGAACAAATTATATCCCCAATTTTTCTGCGCAGGAAAAAGGATGGGGGTTTCATGATGATCCTTAGTAGGGGAGGGCATGAAGTATATCAGGGAAATCATGAGGAAACATGAGGTTAAAACAGGGGAATAGGAATAATAACGATCGATAATGCATAAAACTAGCACAAAAAAACTTTAAAATCAGCCAATTAAACTCTACGGATGTAACCGCCATCTTTGACATTCCATAGACTGACGCATCAGAATTCAAAAACTCTACAGGAACCCAACCCACCTTTCATCAATAATCTATGGGGATTCACACGTTCCCAACCCCCCAAAAAACATATTGACCAATAAACCCGCTTAATATAACAATTTAAGTTGCCATGATTAAGCATGCCCCTTGGGTACACCCCAGTGAGAGGGTTGATGGGGGGGCTCTGTCTCCCAACATCTCCCAGGACACATTCTCTTCACCTCAGTGTGTAAGGCAAGATAGAGCTGCATTCACACAGTAAAATAATAAACAAAATAACTTTATACCCAGAAACGTGAAACTTTCATTGCTTCTTTGTACCGTCTGGATTGCTTTGATTTTAATCACTTTTTTCATCATTTGGAGCTCTTGATGGGCCCAGATATTAAACTGGGATGGTTACTAAAGTCTAACTACTCTTCGTTGCCATTATGTCTTAAAAATAACCCAGAAACAACACAACCCTGGAAAAGCAGCACCCTGTGGCTGCTGCAAGAAAGTGTGAAACACTCGATGCACACGATTCTAAATAAGAATATATATAAATCTTAAAATACGCAAATTAAGTATAATAACATTAAAAACAGACTTTAAAGCATAAATGTGTAACAGGAGACACTGATAATTAGCCAAATATCATTTTGAAAAGTGTGTAGTAATACACAAACTAGTTTGGACATCGCAGTAAGGAGTAAATCGGTCAGATGTTTTGTTATTCCTGGCAAGGTAAAAAAGTTGCTGGCCATTGATGTATTTGTCTCCTGACTAAATAAACAAATAACTCACTCTTGTTCATGGAAACCTGATACAAAAGCTGAATACTTGGATGCTTTCTCAATAAGTTGGTCTCAATTTGACCAATCTATATTTTTCCTCCTTTTATCTTGATTGCCAGATGCCTTCAGAATATTCGAGCAGAGATCGCATGGGGACAGTTAATTAACAATGAAAAGGAAAAATGTTCTGCAACAGCCATCAGCAACAGAGGAACACATCATAATGAAACACACCAAGTTGAATTTATATTGTAGACTAATCTACAAATGTTATGGACTTCAAGGTTAAATTTGCCAGATCTACATCACCAGATAGCAGAGATTATGGAGATATCAGTAATGCAAAAAAGAAATTTCTTACTTTTAGGTTTTCCCACATTTTTTTATGCACCTCGACTTAAGTGCCTCAACTGAGAAATAACATCAAATGCACGACCATACAACTCAAATTCTCAAAACACGAAGAGATCATCAGCAACTCACCTGGACCTGTGCGAGGAAGAACTTCTGCACAGCCTCCTGATCCTTGAGGTTGGGCCAGTTGACTGACTTGCCACCTGCTGCACTGCTCTTGGCTGTCTTACGACCTGTTGGATAAATGAGATGGGTTAAAGGTAGTCAAAATACATGGGGGATTATTATATGCACTATACCCTTGGTTACTAGTGTAATTACTCTTCGTTGCCACAATGTCTTAAAAATAACCCAGAAACAACACAACACTGTAAAAGCAACATTTCTCACCAGCGCTCTACCTCGAAATGAACGCACCATGAGCTGTCAACCTGTGGCTGCCGCAAACATGCCAATATAGCACCTCCTTTGATTGGTTCACAGATAGAAGTGATAGGACAAAGTAACAGATATAACACCTTGCTGAAAATACAGTATGGGACAAAGTTAACCTCTATGATCTGTAAAAACTTCAACTCACCCGTTACCCCAACCTAATTTTATTATGCCAAATAAATCCATGTATATCCAACTAAATCACCATCCTTTTTCCCAGTCTCCTTCATTCATGTGCTTGTTTTCAGTCTACTCAGAATCAAAGTGAATAAGTAGTTGTAGAGCCATCTATGTGCAAATACAATTAGTAAATTAAAATCACAGTAGACATGGCATTCATGTAGGCTAATGTCACCTCAGCACAAAGGGTTAAGGAACTATACAGGTATTTTATTCAATTTCAGGGAACAGAATGAAATGATGTACAGTCAGAAAAATTGGTACCCTTTACCAGGATTTTTACAGGTATAAGCTGATTAAATTTAAGACCTTTTTAAGACTTCTTAAGACTCATGATTTTTTTAAGACCTGGAGCCACATATCTCACAGTACACACTTCCCCATAATGTATAGGCATAATTGTCACATCAGTAATCAAGATAAAAAATTAATCCCATTATAATTTTTACACAACTTCTCAAATAGAGTGTAGCGGGTTATCATAAAAAGGCAGGCCAAGTAAATTGTCATGTCAATTACCAAAGATCAAGGCCTAATATTGTTGACAAATGATTTCTGATCACCCCGGGTAAAATTCCGTGAGTAAGTAAATCACGACAGTATCCGCCAGTAACAAATATGAGACATTTTATGACTTTAAGGATGCACCCGAACCCTGTTTACATAAACTAATATCAAATCAGGAATATCAGCATACTATCAGCCAACACAAATTTCAGTCTACCACCTCTCTTTACTTCTCATTTGCAAGAATCAGAGAAATAGTGATATCTGTCAACTCTTACTGGTTCAGCAAACCTTCATGTAAGATGAAGTGTTCTGCGCTGGATCCCTTGACCCTCCACCTCCACACAAGCCAGCAGAGCCCAAATGGAAAATTAGCCGGAGGACTTTGAATATTAGATGATTCTTTACTGTACAGACACACTGCCAGAGACTAAGTCCCCAACTCCACATCACAAAATTTATCCAACAATATATGTTGCCATATCTGGGCATGGCTGACTGCCCTATCCCAAACATCCCCGAACAACCCCCAGGAAATATTGTCTTCACCTCGGTAAGATCAAGCCCTTCGTAACGAGTCAGAAGCCAGCTTAGCACGCATGTTACGCTTGTTCACACAGCAGATGCACGTGCCTGTGAAATATGTTGGAAAGAGGCACACATGATGTAAAGGCTGTGCACATTGGGACACCAGCTGCACACAGAATTTTTTCTGAGAGTGAAGCGAAGTTTTCGGTAAATTTACCACAGATAATAACCAAGTTTACATTTAAAAAGTGAATATTACTTAAACTAAGACACTTTTCATCTATGGCTTAAGGTGCACAAATTGAAAATAAAGGAGATACATGACAGAGAAGGGAGATGATCAACTTATCTTTCTCAAGTTCTTCGTCATGTTGACATCGCAAAAGTACACAAATTTATGACCACTTGACTATCTCTCGAGTAGGTCATGTATTAATGTGTGTTTGTGAAAACGATATTTGGCTCATTATCAGTGTCTGTTGTTCTAAATTTATGCTTCCAAAGGCCTTTGTTAATGTTGCTATAACTCTTTTACATGTTTCAAGATTTATTAGACATTGATTTATGGGAATCAGTCTGAAGAACCTTCTACGCATGCAGATTTTCGCACATTTGGCTGCCAGGTTTGACAAGACAATTCCTGGGCATTCATTGACAGAAGGCCAGCCCCATCAACCCTCCCCTCGGACAGTACGCCTAGTCATGGCACCGTAAATTGTCAGGTTAGATCATGTTTTTTGGGGTTTGGAAGATGTGAAATCCCATAGATTTTGCCGAAAGATAGGTTGGATTCCCGTAGATTTTTAAAAATTTTGGCGCATCAGTGCGTAGAGTTTCAAAGGTGGTGGGCATTTTTAGTGTTTTTTGTGCTAGTTTTAAACATTTCTGTTTGCTGTTCTTATTATCTAAGCCTGCTTTACCCCATAACTTCCCTGATATACTTCATGCCCTCCCCTGCTATCGGGACTTAACACATCAAGATAGTCGGTTGTGACTGGAAATGATCATCAGATTCATTTTTGTCACATGAGAATAAATCTGATGATATAAATATTGTCTAGGATGTCCCAATTATCATAATCAAATAAATAACCAAGTTTTCAGTGTGGTGCACAGAGAGGGACATATGGGTATCTCCTATATATTTACTTTGTCAATAATATTCAATAAGGATTAGCTACATTTATGGCATAAGCAAGCAAAGGGGGAAGGAGATGTGAAGGGTTAAGTAATGGTAGGGAATAAGCAAACTAGAATTCCAGGATTACGTTAGGTACATATTTATCTATTGGATATTACTTTTCTGCGAGATTTTATCAATGCACTTTACAGAACATCTCAAGTCAGCAAGGTAATTTTACAGAATAGCTCTTCCTAACGGATTGCGGCAATTTTGGTATCAACAGATTCCTCACCCTACTATCCAAATATAAAAAAATTATTGCACGGAAACTTCCCAAACTCAATTACCTTATTATCTAATGTCTGTGACCCCCCCAACCCCCACCCATGAAAACAAAGAATCCTCAACGTCTTCTTGGCAGGAGTGTGACAGACAGACTCGCCATTAGGCACTCCAAGATGTTGGTCATACACTCTCTCCTGCCATGAATACGTGGGTGATTCTGTGTGTTCCGTTGCAGGTATTGGAGGGCTTCTGCCGCCATGGGGAGTTGCATGGTGCCAGGCCCTGCATTAGACAATATAGTGATTGATCCTATCTATATTATTTATATTTTATGCAGCAATTTCCCTGGGACCTTTCATACTATCCATGCTATCAGGGGCAAGATTGTTGCTAATAGGGGGGTCTGCACAAGAATTCAATGTATATAGATATCAAAGAGTAAGACGAATCCATCAGTACCAAAATCCTAACAATCCGTTAAGCAGAACTACTCCGACCACATATACACTGCGGCTTGCATCAAATATTATTTGTAACATCAAGCAAGGACAGAAACACAAATTTTCTACGAAGTTTCTCTGAACTCGCGACCACACACTCCTCAAAGTCCTCCTCCTCATCAACCCCAACAATGCTAACTCTATCCATCTTTGAAAACATTGAAAGGAAAATGAAAAAGCTCAAGAATTCATTCATAAAACTTCCATTCCCTTCGTTTTCTCACTCCTTCATTCACAACTTGTGCAACAACTCCTCAAGCAATAACTCGACAACTCCTCCTCAACCAACAACTCGACAACTCCTCCTCAAGCAACAACTCGACAACTCCTCCTCAAGCAACAACTCGACAACTCCTCCTCAAGCAACAACTCAAGCTCAAGCAACACCTCAACAACTCCTCCTCAAGCAACTCGACAACTCCTCCTCAACTCGACACTCCTCCTCAAACAACTCGACAAACTCCTCCTCAAGCAACAACTCAACTCAAGCAACAACTCGACAACTCCTCCTCAAGCTCAAGACAACTCCTCCTCAAGCAACAACTCGACAACTCCTCCTCAAGCAAACTCGACAACTCCTCAAGCAACAACTCGACAACTCCTCCTCAAACAACTCGAGGACAACTCAACAACTCCCTCCTCAAGCAACAACTCGACAACTCCTCCTCAAGCAACAACTCGACAACTCCTCCTCAAGCAAACAAACAACTCAAGACAACTCTCCTCAAGCAAAAGACAACTCCTCCTCAAGCAACAACTCGACAACTCCTCCTCAAGCAACAAACAACTCCTCCTCAAGCAACAACTACTCCTCCTCAAGCAAAATCTACAACTCCTCAAGCAATAACTCCAAAATCTACAACTCCTCCTCAAGCAACATCTCAAGTAACACCTCCAAAATTTACAACTCAAGCAACAACAACTCAAGTAACAACTCAACAACTCTTCCTCGAGCAACCCTCCCCCTCAACTACTCCAAAATCTACAACTCCTCCTCAAGCAACAACGAGCCCCAACATCCCCCGTTAAAGCGACCCCCGAGGAAGCGAAGCCCCTCCCCCTCCCCCCCCCACAGACACGTCCCCGCCCCTCCAACGAACTCCTCCTCGTCCTTACGCCTCTCCCTCAGTTTTTTCTTGAACTCGGGGTCGCTCCTCCTCCGCTGGTCGAAGTAGATGCAGTACCCGAGGAACAGTGCCCCGGCGACGCCAGCGCAGATGCCCAGAGTGCCCTTGGAGATCATGGTCATGCTCACGCCCCTCTCGACTCGGTTTCCCTGCGTCTCCCTCGGGGTTTCGGCTGCGCTTCTGGTCCTTCGGCGGGGGTTTCGGGGGATTTTTTTGGAAGTGGGGGAGCGTCTGGTTCTCGGCGGTCGGGGTTTTCCTTTTGCAGCCGATGCTTGGCCACGGGAGGACTATAGGCGCCGGAAACCACGTGGGCGGAAGGGAGGGCGATAGGGGCGCTTTAGGGGGATCCGATTCTCTTGGGTGGGGATGGGATGTATGTATTTTTAGAATTATGGGAGAGGTTATTTATTTATTTATCTATTTATTTATTATTATTATTACAATTATTATTATTATTATCATTATTATTACTATTATTATTATTAACGTTATTATTATTTACAGTGTATTGTGTAGTTTGATATGTGTGGAGGATGCTAGTCAAGGGATATTTATGGTATTTGAGGTGAGATTCGTCTTAATAGCACTTTGGATGCTTTAACTTTTATTTCAAAAGTAGATATTGCTATAGATTTTTCTTTATATTTTGCTTTGATTTTTTGTTCATCGATGTTTTGTTTTTGTTTTTTTACTGATTTACGACGGAGGTTTGTAGATAGCACTAGAAAGGGTTCCGATCCTCTTTCAAAGTTATTTTGATATATTTTGGGGGCTATTCAAAGGGTACTTTTTATTCTTAAATTAATCTGAAGCTTTTGTCCAGCGTATTTTCTTAATATAGAATAAAATCTATCCGAACTCAGTCTCACTACAACACATGGGATTTACGTAAACAAGAATAAAAGAGCATCGCTTCTTCCCCCTAAATCCTACTTGAAGATTTTAGATCGTATTAGATTCCTTCCTTGAGCGAATTCCAATCCTCTTGTCTTCTCTCCCACTTCTCGTCTGCTAGAAAGGTGGATTTGGCGCAAAATTTCGAAATATTTGGATAATATCGGTCGACGATTTTCGTTCATTTAGGCAAAAATAGATAGGTGGCATCGGTGCGTTCCTCTGCGTAGGTTTTGCAATTTTTATAAGTAAAATAAGCTCGAGTTATTATGTAATTTTGTGTTGTGATTCGGATAAACAATTTTTGCGCGATTTTTGGTTCCATTTTTGTACATTAATTTCCAGATAACACCACTACTTGGCAATATTTCCCTCTCCGTATTTTCTTCTTCTCATCATCATTATTATATTGTTATACTATTACTATCATTATAATTTAGTATCATTTTTGTCATTACTGTTTTTGTTGACTTGTTATCGTTGCTATTATCATTCCAACATCGTTTTCTGTTTAATTTGTCTCTATCTTTCCACATATTCTTCTCCGTCTTCGTCGCCTCTTCTTCCTTCCTTTTTGTCATTTTCCTCTTTATATGCCCTTTTTATCTAGAATGTCTCGCATTTTCAGCTTGATTCTGTATCACCTCTCTCTTCCCTCTCTCTCTCTCTCTCTTTCTCTCTCTCTCTCTCTCTCTCTCTCTCTCTCTCTCTCTCTCTCTCTCTCTCTCTCTCTCTCTCACTCCTCTCTCCTCCCTCCCCGATTGACTCACTCTCTCATCTGTTCATTTATTTGCTCTGTTCTTGTTTTAATGATCACTCATTAGCCTTTTACACTTGGAGTAATGTCGGTTAACGCTTGTACAGTGTCTGGGCTCCCTATTTCTCTTTCTCTCTCTCTCTTTCTCTCATCCCTTCCTGTGTTGAATCATCAATTTGTTTTTTCTTTCTTTTCCTCAGATTTCTCTTTCCTCAAAACCGGAAAAGAAGAAAAAAACTTCCAGAGAGAGAGAGAGAGAGAGAGAGAGAGAGAGAGAGAGAGAGAGAGAGAGAGAGAGAGAGAGAGAGAGAGAGAGAGAGAGAGAGAGAGAGAGAGAGAGGAATAAAAGAACAACCACCAAGAAAAACAAAGAAACAAACAAACAAACACCAAAGAGCAGAGACATGGCCTCAGCCGAAGAAAAAGGCCTATGGGAGAACGAGGAGTATAGGCCTATAAAACCCATTCCACTGATTCTACACATTGACCTCCACCGACCTGATTTCACGGACTATTTGGGCAGCGGTTTCAAGATCAGAGGTCAGGGAAAGTTAATGATATTAAGGATAATGATATTGAGAATGTGATTTGAATCGTACTGTAGATGATATGATGCTGGTTATGATAGTATCAACGATGGTAATGATGCTACTGCTACTACTAATCTTATTACTACAATTATTACTACAACTACTATTAATGCTACTACTATTGTATTACTATACTACTATTATAGCTATTACTACTATTGTACTACTACTACTATACTACTGTTGTCACTTACTACTACTACTACTGTATTATTACTACTACTACTCTACTATTAATATTATTACTACTATACTACTACTACTACTACCTACTACTACTACTATAACTATTACTATTACTACACTATACTACTACTACCACTATTGCTAATACTAATACTATTACTACTACTACTACTACTACTACTACTACTACTGTTACTGCCACTATTGCTTTTACTACTACTGCTATTATTACTACTACTGCAACTACTTCTATTAATAATGGTAAGTATAATAATGATAATGATGATGATAGTGATAATGATCTAGTCATTATCATAATTACTATTTAGTTGTTGGTATTCCAATTATTGCTATCAATATTACCACTATTGTTTTTATCTTCTTCATTATTGCTGTTGTTATTTTTCTGCCATTATCATAATCTTTGTCATTATCGTCATTAATATTAATCTCATTATTATCATCATTCTATTCATATTATTATCATCATCATCACCATCATCATTATTATAAACATCATCATCTTTACCATTATCAGTATAATCATTACCATTATCACCATTAAAATAATGAGGATCATTTTCCCTCATCATCTTTGAGATTGTAGATATCACTACCATTATCCCATCACCGCCAATGATATTATTGATAATGATAACAGTAATGGTCACACACAAAAAAGTAAAATTGACAATATAACCAAGACTGGCATCTACAGTGAGCAAAAGCACACCCAGAGACAGTGTCATCCTGCCAACATGTGGTGTAGCTGTCCTCGTCATGTACTTGTCCCGGATTTCCACCGCATCCACATCCACATCCACAACTGCATCCACTTCTGGCGAGGAAGGTCCGGGCGTGAAGGAATCGCTGGATGAGGTTATCGAGAGGTATGGGGCGTAATTTGGTTGTTATTATTTTTTATTGTTGTTACTATTGCTGTTATTATCTTTTATCCAAAGCAGCAGCAAAGGCACCATTCTCCCTCAACATCACCATTTAATAACGAGTTGTGAGGATCGATCAGCTGATGGCAGGAATCAGCTGATTTTGATAAACACTGGGTCACGTGCTTTTGTGTCCGACTGGATTCTCTCCCATTACTTGTGTTCACCTGCTCACTCAATCCACCTACTTAGCCCACCCACCCAACCCACCCACTTAGCCCGCCCACCCAACCCCCCACCCACTTAGCCCACCCACCCAACTCCCCACTTAGCCCCCCACCCACTTACCCAACCCTCACTTAACCCACCACCCACTTACCACCCACCCAACCCCACCCACTTAGCCCACCACCCCACCCAACCCCCTCACTTAGCCCACCCTCTAACCCTCAGAATCAAAGCGTTCACCAGCCAGCACAAAGTAAGCATCTTAGTGTTGGTCGGGTCGGTGTTTGGCGAGGAGGAAGTGGGCGGCGTCATCGCGACGATCCAGAGGAAGCTCCTGCCACGCCCGCCGCCCCTCTTGCCCGCCCACGGAGATGCACAGGCGGCCGCCCACATCCAGACGCTGGCGAAGGTGAGAAAGAGAGAGAGGAGGGTGAGGGAGGGAGGTTAGGGGAGGGGGGAGGGAGTGATAGTGTGCTAGTTATGGTGAGTGGACGTATGGTGTGGTGGTGTTGGAGGGTGGGGGAGAGGAGGGATGTGGGGGGGGGTAGAGTAGGAGGGTGAGGGAGAAGAGGGGGTTGGGGTGGTGGTGGTGTTGGAGGTTGAGAGGGTGACCCGGGAGGGTGAGGAAGAGGAGGGGGTGAGGGTGACAGTGTTGGAGAGTGAGAAGAGGAGGGTGAGGGTGACAGTGTTGGAGAGTGAGGGAGAGGAGGGGGTGGGTGACAGTGTTGGAGAGTGAGGGAGAGAGGGTGAGGGTGACAGTGTGAGAGTGGAGTGAGGTGTGTTGGATAGAAGGAGGAGGGGGGTGGGAGTGGTGATGGTGTTGGGGTGTGTGGGAGAGAGGGGTGAGGGTGACAATGTTGGAGAGAGGGAGAGGAGGGGGGTGGTGATATTCTTACATATATGGTGCGACGGCTACGGTGTCGGAGGCCTTGAACAGGATATAAGGGTCGTGGTGACCAAGTTATAGCGAATATGTAATAGATAATGAGAATGTTGAGAATAAGCAATAATAATGGTGAAAGCGGCGGTTACTGTGTTAGTGGAAGGAAGCCCCCTTATGCCTGGCTGTTGGTGAGGGTTAATGTAGGTCTATATATGGTAACGGTATATGTGTGTGTGTTTGTTGTGTGTGTGTGTGTGTTGTGTGTGTGTGTGTTTGTGTGTGTGTGTGTGTGTGGTGTATGTGTGTGTGTGTGTGTGTGTGTGTGTGTGTGTGTGTGTGCGTGTGTGTGTGTGTGGGTGTGTGTAGTTTTATGAATATGATTGGGGAGGCCAATGATGATTAGAGGTATAAAGGTGATAGGGTTAAGTATGATGATAATTCTTGTTATGTGATGATGGTGATGATGTGATTACAGTGATTATGATAATGATATTAAGTGTAATGATGATGATAATAATAGTAATGATATTGACAATGAAAGTAATAATGATTATTGTGATGATAATGTTAGTAATGATAACAAGGATAATGATATTAGAGATAACAATATTAATGAACATTCTCTCTCTCTCTCTCTCTCTCTCTCTTCTCTCTCTCTCTCTCTCTCTCTCTCTCTCTCTCTCTCTCTCTCTCTCTCTCACTTCTCCCTCTCTCACTTCTCCCTCCCCCCCTTCCTTCCCCCCCTTCCTTCCCTCCCTCCCCCCTTCCCCCCCCCTTCCCTCCCTCCCTCCCCCCTACCTCCCTCCTACCTCCCTCCTACCCTCCCTCCCCCAGGCCACGCTGCCGGAGACGAGACGCGTGGTTCAGGAGCGGATGGAAGGGATCCTGCAGGAGGCGACGTCGCAGGACTTCGGCGTCACCTTAGCCCGGGCCATGGGACTCAGCCAGCACCGTGAGTGTGTGTGGGGGTGGGGGTGGGGGGGGAGGGGTGTATGTTGGGGGGTGGGGGTGGGGGAGGGGTGTTGTTTTGTGTGGGGTGGGTGGGGGGGGTTTTTGTGGGGGTGGGGGGGGGGGTTGTTGTGGGGGTGGGGAGGGGGGTTGTGGGGAGGGGGGTTGTTTGTGGGATGGGTGGTGTATGTTGTGGGGTGGGAGCTGGGGAGGGGGTGTATTGTGGGGAGGGGGTTTTTGTGGGGTGGGTTGGGAGGGGTGTATGTGGGGGGTGGGGGGGTATGTATGTTGTGGGGTGGGAGCTGGGAGGGTTGTATGTTGTGGGGAGGTGGGTTTTTGTGGGGATGGGGGGGGGAGGGGTGTATGTTGTGGGAGTGGGGTGGGAGTGGGGTGTTGTTGTTGGGTCTAGGGTAGGGGTGGGGGAGGGAGGGAGAATGTTGTCTGTGGGTATTGTGGGGTTTATGTGTGTGTTTGTGTGTGTGTGTGCGTATGTGTGTGTGTGTGTGTCTGCTTTAGTCACTTTATTCAGTTACTTTGTTCACCCATTTCCTCATCTACTTTATCCACCTGCTTTATTCGGCTTTTTATCCACCTACACCATGAACGATTTTACTCACTCCTTTACCCGGCTCTTTACTCTCCTTCGTTATTCACCTGCTTTACTCACCTACTTTATTCA